ATACAAAGTTTTTTGAGAAAGCTTACATTGTGAGTGTTGCAATAATTATGAAATTAATTAAAAATGGCTGACAATTAGGATATCTTACCTCAGAAATAAGATCCAAGTCCAATAATCAAGTCCAATTTCAGCCCTGGGACTTGGAGAATACGACGGAGTTGGGATGGAAATCCGGAATTTTAATGGCGCGCACAAATTTCTCGAGTTTTCGTTGCCACCGAATACGGGGACTTCATTTTAACGGCGCATTCGGAGAGAATTGGTGATAAGCCACCAGTGATTGGATGTTATTTGAAATGCAAATTGAGGTAGGCAAGAGATTTCTATCACAATTTTTGCTCTTTTAGAAGCCACAAAGCTAAGCTCTCCGATCAAAATGTTGGGGAAGTGCTTGCCTATGAGGTACTAATGAATATACTTTCAGAGTACCGCCGCCCAGTGTCCCCCTTGCTATTGGCAATCTATGGTATTTTGCCATTTTCTCGCTATCTACTTGATAAATTTTTATGATTTTTGTACTATTCGATGCGTAATTTGATTCTCAATCGCAATAGCAAGGGGGACTCTGGGCGGCGGTACTCTGAAAGTATACTAATGAACTTATATTTAAAGTCCGAGTGAAATTTAGGTTTTACCGATGCCTGATGATTGTGAAGTGCACAGTTTGCCTTTGAATGGAGCTTTTTGCGTGGTAAGTTGTTTGGTAGGCCCAATTAGTCTGGTTTGCCCTGGCCTCAAAATCTTGAGTCCAGAAAAGCCCTGGTGAAATTACCATTTTCAATTCCAATATTATGTTTTAGCTCCGGTGCAGGGCAAAAGTTCTTCGCTTTCAAGAAACGAGAGATAAAAGAGCTATTCTGTTCAATAGCACTCTCTATGCTTGCCATGATACTGAAAGTTTGATACGGGTAAGGGCAGATTATTAAATTAAAGCAAGAACCTAAAGTCATCAAAAAAGTCTTGATCTCCACAGTACCATGAATAACTCGAGTGAGCTATAAGCAAGAACCTATCTGAATTATTGGGACCAAGACTTTTCTAGAACCGACTTTCCAGCCAAAACCATGCAAAATTCTAAAAGCTGAATTTTTTCGGAAAGCAATAAGTAATTAACTTCTTACAGTTAATAATACAGCTTAGCCATACTCTTGCCACTCAAGTTATTCATGGTAGTGTGGACATTAAAATTTAGAATCCAAAAATTGGTGTCTACTACGATGTGATCGTTCGACGACCGAAAGACGAAGAGTTGATACAATGCGATCAAGGGTGGAAGGTACGCTTTCCGTCCAGCTACAAAAAATTTTTTTTAGATTGTTAAAGTGATGGGAGAACTCGAAGGATATGAAGAAAGACAAAATTTGAGAGCACAAGACTTTGATAGAGAAGTGAGTTTGGGAGTAGGACAGATGCGACCTTTTTTTGCGCACCCGGCCCATTTGCGCACCTTTTTTTGCGTTTTAAAAAACCTAATATTAACCAATTTCCATTCCAAAAGTTGTTTCACTGGGTAATTTTAGGGCGTAGATTTTTGACATATCAAAGCGTGTGAAATCAATTTGAAAGATAAAACGAGTAGGTCAAATTACAGAAAATTATCGATTTTTCCCTATGTATAACTCTGTCCGCTTGCTTCCACAAACTCTGATATATCAAAATTTGGATTCTACGCCTTAAAATTAGCCAGAAAACCAATTTATGGAATGGAAATTGGTTTTTTTTTAACTTTTTTTCGAGGGATTGTGATGAATCAGGCAAAAGGATACAACTTCATCTCTTTCTCGAAAAAAAAACAGCTTTTTAGAGCTTTTTTAAAACGCGAAAAAAGGTGCGCTAATGGGCCAGGTGGGCAAAAAAAAGATCGCATTTGTCTCACTCCCGTGAGTTTAAAAAAAATCAAAATCAAAATCGGTAAATCAAAAGTGAAACTTTCTTAAGCCACGAGGCACAGAAAATTCAAGACAAAACAAAATAAAATGTTTTGTTTTGTTTAAGAACACTTTTTACTTTTTCTCTCTAAAAAATTTCAAATCGATTAAATCTGAAATCTTTCTTAAAACTCTAACTGACGGCTGAATAACATTTGAATGTTTACTTTAATTCTTTCTATTAATCAATGCTATACTTTTTGACTTCAGGAGGAAATGGGTAGAAGAAGAGCCACGTCACAGTTTAAACGTCAAGAAGCGAAAAATGATGACGACTCGTTGACACATGAATTACGAGGGATTGTGATGAATCAGGCAAAAGGATACAACTTCATCTCTTTCTCGAATGATAAGGAAGCCGCTTATCAGTTGGTTTTTAAAAAATTAATTATTAGATTGGCAACTTGATAATATATTAGACAATATATAACTTTTATTTAGAGAAGTCTAATTTAATTGGTGTATTAAATATATTTTATGGAAAATACAAAAAAGTGTACCAATTTTCCAGTTGCCAATCTAATGCCAATCTAATAGATATCCTGGCTAGCTCTTTGCATTGTTTTAAAATTTAAATTTAGTCGGAAAGATACGAGAAGCAAAGGATTTCAAGAGTTGGAACTTGGTGGACACGTATGTTGCCTCGTCAGAGAGTGGGTGTTGCTTTTTAAAATCTTAGTGCGTCAAAAATTCAAAATCAAAAAGTGCGTCAAAATTTGACTAACAAATACATTTAGTATGCAAAGCTGCAGCGAAAACGAAACGCCTCGATGTGAAATTCTTAGCTACCAAACGATTCCATCTCCTGCCGGATGGGGAGTTGCAGGGACGACCGACGCTGGATTAGCTAGGGTTGGGCTTAATGCACAATATTCATTTAATTATAAAAACATCAACTTTTTGTAAATGTACTGTTTTTAGATAATCTGCCCATTGCGTTTTCTGCACATGTCACAAGGCCGCTCGGGACGTCCCTATCCAATTTATCAGAATGAGTTGATGGAAAAGGTTCACGATTATGATCGAAGGACTATCGGCTTTGGAGAGGTTACTTTCTGTTATGTCACTTATTGTATAAGGGGAGACTCCAAATGTAAACTTTTTAGTAGCATAAGTTGTTTAGTTCTATATTATGAACGAACTAATAGCCTATTTTTAGAAGCTAGACCTTGAGCTGCTGAAACGTTTAAAGGTGAAGGCCGAAGTGATTCGAAGTCGAGTTCCCGAATGGAGAGGTCGAAATGGGCTTCTGGTGCATGTCTTGCTCGAAAAAGAGATTGTCGACTTGGTTTGTTTAAACAGAGATGCGAAGAAAATGCGAAAATTGAGGATGATGATTGGCTTCAACAAGGGCGTATTGTGGAGGAACTGGAATCGGTAAACTTCATTTTAACTTTAAACTTTAGTTCAAATCAAAGCATTTAACTCATAGTCAGTCTTTCAATTTTAGGAGCGAAATTCTGTGCCCAATGAAAGCAACGATCGTTTCGCTACAAAATCTCAAAAACAAGAATTGCGAGGGATTGTGATGAATCAGGCAAAAGGAATGAATTTCATCTTTCTCTCGAACCAAATGGAAGCCTCGTATAGGTGAGTTTTTTAGAGCGAACAATTTGGAAAGCTACCGCATCCTTTAACTTGTGCCGGTTCTACTCAATTTTGATCCCATTTGATTCATGATTTGATTCCGCATCTAATGAGATCGAAATTAAGTAAATTGGACAAAATCTGAAGGCAAGGTTTTCCAAATTAGACGCTTTTTAGAAAATGCACTCAATTTTTTTAGTATGCGAGACGCAACCCGAAACAACGCTCCAATGAAACTTGGTGATCACTTGGAATGTGTTATCAGCGAGTCGGTTCAAATAAAATTTCCCATATTTTTGATGAACTTTAGTGTATTAACGTTTGATGATGTCAAAAAGAGAACGAAGTGTGAAATTCTCAGCTATCGGATTGTCCCCACGCCAACTGGTTGGGGATTCGAAGGGCAAACGCCTGCCGGGTTGGCAAAAGTGAGTCTTATTCTTTGTGCTGTAATTTGTGCATGTTGGTTTAGATGAGTTTTCTAAAACGTGTCAACTTTTGAAAATTACCGTAGTATTGGCTGTAGTTTTTATTTAATCTATCAGCTTTCTATCTTTCGGTGCCCTTTGTGATCCTCACAGAATCAGGCCAAAGCCGGATAGATTGGATAACACTAGAGCCAAGGTGACGGTAGTCGAGAAAGTTGACACGTTTGAGAAACAATCGATTTAAGGTAAATTTTAATTTTTTAGATATCTTGCCCGCTGCGTTTCCTTCGCTTAATGCCTCAGAGTTCAAACTTCTTCCACACCGATTACCCGGTCTATTGCAACGATTTTATGGAGGCTGTTCACGATTACGATAGGCTTTCGATTGATAGAAATAAGGCTGGTTTTAGCAAAAATGGAAGAAGAATAACAACCATTTTAGAAACCCAATGTCGATGAGTTAAAGTCTGTAAAACTGGTCGCTGTAGTGGTTCGAACGAGAATTCCCGGCGGTGGAGGGCGAATAGGGCTGATACTGACTGGAGTCTTGGAAAAGCACATCGAGACACGGAGCGACGATACGGATTGGGTAACTGCTTTTTCTTGAATGAATAATAAGTGCAATAATGTGAACAGCGGTTGCTTCAAAAGCAATTATCTGGAGCCAGGCCAGAAGTCAGCTCCTGGGTTGGCTTTATTGCAGATCGTTCCAAAAAAGCCCCTGAATTTGTCTTCTTACAGGCTTCGGGATCTGTTTGGAATCCTTAACTCTTTATAAACTTTCATTTTTTAACATTTGCAGACAAGTGAAGAGACTAGCACATGCAAAAGTCAGCCTCAACCAAGTCGCAATCAAACTTTTTCTCACCCTACAGGAAACGACGACGAGTATTGGGTTAAGCATCAAGAATTGGTGGGTTGAAAGCATGTTTTGCTATCGTGTTCTTAAAAGTTAAACTAGTCAATATTTAATCTTCTTTTCAATTCAGGTTCAAGACAAAAACAAGACTTCGATCCTACCCATCGACACCAAAATGATCGACTCGAGCCTCTAGCAATGGAAAAACGGGGAATAGTGATAAACCAGGCCAAAGGCTACAACTTTATCCTCTTCGACGATAATCTGATAGGCACCTATCAGTCAGTTTAAAGTATACAGAAAATAATGAGAGGATTTAGCATGAGAGATGTGAGATTAAACGGTTTGCCGCCACTGAAGCTTGGAGATCACTTGTTTTGCGAGGTCGGAGAGTAAGTTTTCACCAATTGTAACCGTCTAGTTAACTTTAGCATGAAAAACCGGTATAAAGAGGCGAGACCCGAATACAAAGTGCTCAATTATCGACTCATGTCCATGCCAAGCGGATGGGGATTCCAAGGACAAACCGAGAGTGGATTGGCTAGGGTAAGGCTGAATTGGGCTAAAACAATTATTTAGACTGTACAAGCTCTTGCAAGTCTATAATTTCAGATAAGTTGCCCGTTGTGGTTTCACGGTTTATCAGATCAGCCACCGAAAGGAAAACGTTTCTGTTATCCAATCTATGGCAACGAGTTCATGGAGATGGTTCACGATTACGATCAGCGAACTGTTAACGCCGAAGAGGTATAAAACAGCTTCCTTTCATAAACATTAACCTTGAAAATTACCATTTGTAAATTTGCATCCGAAAGCTCCCTTTTCCTTGCCAAAACTCCGGTCGGCTCCTTCATTTTCTGAAATTTGGTGCCTTTTAGAAGACGGGATTAGTTCTGTTTAACATACTGTATATATTTAGAAGCCGAACATACAAGCGTTAAAATCGATGAAGCTAATTGGCGAAGTGGTGGCAACTCGTTTGCCAAACACTGGTGGATTGCCCGGAATCTTGCTGCAGCAAATCCTTGAGAGACATGTTGAAGCAAATGCAAGCAATCAATTCTACGAATCGGTAGTTAAAGTTTTCTCACTTTTGTCAAAGCTTCTTTTAGGTAGATGAAAGAATCGATGATTATCCAAAGATCGAGCAAAGAGATCCTCAACCCAAGTATCAGTTTGAAGGTAGATTTGGATTTGTTGATCTTTTTTCAAGAATTACAGTTACAACTACAGATTACAACAATCACATCAAAAGCATTTCTTTTTAGGATATGTCCTCAAGAAGTGGGGTTTCTTCTTGGTCATTTGGGTGACGGACAACCGCTTGGCGGTCATCGATACAAGAAGTTTTGCGAAGAATGACGTGCCTGAGTTGGGATCTATCATCGAATGTGATATTGTGTGAGTTTAGGTTTAGATTTTATACGAAAAACTACTCTTAAGAGCCTGTTCTCAAGATTTTGGATAATTCCATGGTAAGGTAGCTGAGATACTGTAAGTAGAGTGACTTCTCTCGACTAATCCATTTTCTAAAACGTGTCCACTTTCTCTACTACCGTAATCGTAATCGAGTTTTATCCAATCTATCCACTTTTGATCTGATTCTGTGAGGGTTCACGAAGAAAACTTATCCAAAAGCATAGATTGGAACAAACTAGAACCAAGGTTACGGTGGTTTTGTAGAAAAGGTTTTCCTAAATTTATGAAAGTATTCCTAAATTTTGCTTCACATTTCAGGGCAATGGATGCGCCGATTCTTGACCAGAAAATGATCTACAAATGGGACGTGATCGCAATGGGACGATTTCGACGAAATTCTCGCGATTCCATCGTTGACACGGAGAAATCTATTGTAAATCATCAAGCTTATCTGATTTCTATTCTGATGTAAATTTTCAATTTAACAAATGTTTAGGTCTTCTGTCGAGAACTGATCTTCGAATCATATCGCTTGGTCAATGGGAAACCAATTGCCCACTTTTCACATCCATTCTTTGGGTTGATTTACGATAAACAAGGAGTTTTCAAAGCGGTAGGACACTTTAAAACGTATATAAAATGGTTTTACTGTAAATTTGAATAGTTTGAATAGACAGCACTCTCTGAAGCTGGACTGTTCTAAGGTCCGATTTTTCAGGTCAAGCAAACAAGCAAATCGTTTACTTTCGATATTGTTTTATTTTGGTTTGGCAAACCTAAAACATTTTGGCTTTTTAGAACAGTTCTGCTAAAGTTTTGTCAAATATCTGACCGCTTTAAAGCTAACGAATTTTTTGAAGGAAAGAATTTAATGAATTGAATGGCCTTGCTGTAATCACAGTAAGACACACAGAGTAATCACTTATACAAAAGTAATAAGTAATAAGCAATAAGCAATAAGTAAAAGTAATAAAAAGACACTTCCTATTTTCTGATTAATATTTTTTTTAGTTTCCCCAACCTGGTGACCTAATCGACTCCTACATTCAAGCGATTCCCGATGGAGAATCGAGTCTGCAATGGGCTATTGCTGATCCGGAAGACAACGAGAAATCTCTTCTAAAATTGCCACCTCGAGCCATTGTTGCACCATTGAACTATATAAGAATTGTTGACGATGATGATGAGGATGAGGGGAATGAGTGGGAAAGTTTTTCCAATGCTTTCAGTTTGTCGAAAATTAGCGAAACGGCGCATATAGGAAGAGGAATTGACGCTCAATCGACTTCAACGTATGGAACGAATGAAGAGGTATAAGAATATATTGTCCAGTTATTGATTTTAGTAAATATTATTAGAATAAATGATTTTTTTTTAGATTGAACAGATAACTTCAAGTACGAGTGGCCGAACGACTGGCAAAGAATCAAATCAAACTCCAATAGAGAGGAGGGCAAAGGTGGGTTTGTAGGAGTTGAGAAGGCACAAAGACTTGGCAAAATGCAGGGTTAAATGGCTAATCACATAGAAAAATGCAGTTAAAACGCTTGTAGCTTAAAACTATTTTTATATTCGAATCCAGAAAGTTTGATTACCGAAAGAAGTCTTTCCTAAACCTTATCCACAAATGCTCCGTAGTCTAATAAAATTGACCACTTAAATGCTATTGTAGAAATGAAATTGAATCAGGTTCTTTAGAATGGCTTGTGTTTAGATCTTAATTTCAGTTTTATCATTTACCAACTCATTTAGAGTTACGAGGAATTGCTGACGACAATCGTCAACCATCCCGAAATAGCTCAAGTGGTCTACAAAGTGAATCCCGACTTGTTCGCCGAGTGTCTCAGTTTGAATATGTAAAAAGAAATTCTCTATTCTCTACTGTAAAGCTTTCTCTTACAAAAATCAAATCAACTCGAATCGCTAGTCTTTACTAAAGTTTATTTGTCTATTGCATTTTCTATTGTAGTGTGCCTTTTTTTCTTACGAGTACTTGTTAAAATTGTTAAATGCTTGTTAAATGCTCATTATTTTGTTCACATTATTATTAAAATTGTCTATTATTTGTATCAAATTTACATATTAACAAGTACATATCAAGATTTATTATCAAAACATAAAAAAAAAACAAACTGTTAACGTACTAACAAATTTGGTAACCCGATTGCTATAGACTACGAAGAACAAAATATTAGGCTATCTAGAAAGTCTTTTCCTTCATTTTTCCTTCGTATTTCAAATTGATGCATTTGTTAGTTTTAAAAAGAATTACGAAAAGAAATGAAAAAACTTTCTAAAAAGACTAATATCATGAAAATATTTTTTTTTAAATCTTAAAAACTTTACCGGTAAAAAGATATGGAGAGAAATTTGAATAGATTTTGGTCCAATTTTTTTTGGAAATGCTCACACAAATATGGTAATGTTTCATGGATGTGGGAAAACAAAAGAAAAACGAGAACAAGAATCAATATGATCGAAGAAATGGAAAAGAAAATAGGCCGTAAATTTTCTAAGAAAAGCACACCCTATAGGAGTGTCGTGTAGTCTAAGTTTACACTCAAATAAACGCTCGTATCTTGGCACCAATATGTTTGTTTCTGCTCGCTTTAGTAGCAAATTAAAGTAGAGAAGATGGGTGTTTTTTTTGAGATATAGCACATAGTTTTAGCATTAACCAGCGCTTAGAAAAAAAATTATTGAAAAGTGGCAAAAAAAGCCGATTTTTCATCATTTTTCAATCATTTTTTTCTAAGCGCTGGTTAATGCTAAAACTATGTGCTATATCTCAAAAAATCACCAATCCTCTCTACTTTAATTTGATACCCAAGCGCGCAGAAACAAACATACTGGTGCTGAGATACGAGCGTTTATTTGAGTGTAAACTTAGACTACACGACGCTCCTATAGGGTGTGCTTTTATTAGAAAATTTACGATACTTCTTTAGTGTAAATTTTAGTAGATTAAGGAGAAAACATGTTTGGATTACGATTTTTTTTTTTACAAAAGTGATAAAAACTCGAGACGACAAGCCGTGAAAACGTCTCTTTCAGTCCGAATGATCACTTTGTTTCCCTCGCGAATCGAGTCCGGTTGCGCGAAAACAACCTGAAAACTCTTTTGTTTATAGGATTCGATTCAATTCCTTCATTATCATTAAGTTTAGATCTGATAAAACAGAATTGACAGTATTCTTTTCAAAATCAGACTATCTATGGTACACCTTCCCGCTCGCTTTCTAGAGTTGTTCGATTTGTGCTTTACTATTTGTTTAGGCTACTCTGGCTCCACTTCTATTCAAAAGCTATTCAAAAGGCTACCCTAGGCTGCAGTAAAGCTAGATTAAACGAAGCTAGACAAAGCCAAGACCTGGAAAGATCCATTTTTGGAATACGGATCTTTCTGGTACTGATTAAAGTCCGGTTGAGTAGATTTGTATTTGAGTTGAGCACTTTGTTTCCTTCAAAATAGGTCACCTGATCCCTGTAGAGGCGTAGTTTGATCTCGGGAATGCAAACATTTTGCGTGATTTTCATCGGCTGCTCACCAGCCAACACTTTGCCGACACAAGTCGCCGGAAATGAGACCAATTGCTCGGTTCGATCGGAGAGTCTGAATGGGAGCATGTTAATGAACCGAATCAAAAGGAAACAGAAAAAAAACATGTCTGGGAATCTCCCTTTTAACTCACCGAAATCCGTGCAACCAATCCGGATCCCCGTTGTTGACAACGATGAGTCTTTCACCGAGGATTAGTGTTTGTCCGGCTGACGGTGTGTACTCGTGAATGACGATGTGACCGCCTTGACTTGCCACTAAAGAAAAATAATGGCTTCACTTGTTCTCTAATGTACTTTGTGTTCGAAAACTGGGAACGCTTATGCTCTAGTGCACTGATTTCTTTAACATTCATTCCATTTCCCTCATTTCTAGCTTAATTTTGAACAAATTTTTGGTTTAAAATAGAATTCATCATTGATTCGTTCACCTTTTTTTTCTGAATGTTAAAGAGTTAAGGTTGGATTTAAAATGTTCCTCATTAAATTTGGCTATAAAAAGGTACAATTTGTTTTGTAAACTCAAGTGTAAGAGTGTAAGAAAATAGAGAAAATTTGTGCCAAAGTTGACTCACCTAGCTACAGAAGTCAATCAACTTTGACGCTCTATAACTCGAGGGATAGAAGTTGAATCTTATGGTTGGTTTTAAATAGAATCTTCATCAAATTTGACTATAGAAAGGTAGAATTTGTTTTGTAGACTTATCGATAAAAACATAGAGAGAATTTGAGTCAAAGTTGAGCTACCTACCTGGAAAGGTTGATCAACTTAAATGGTCTATAACTCGAGGTATAGAGGTTGAATCAACTTATGGTTGGTTTTATTAGAATTTTCATTAAATTTGGTTATAGAAAAGTAGAATTTGTTTTATAGACTCATCGATAAAAACATAGAGAGAATTTGAGTCAAAGTTGAGCTACCTACCTGGAAAGGTTGATCAACTTAAATGGTCTATAACTCGAGGGATAGAAGTTGAATCTTATGGTTGGTTTTAAATAGAATCTTCATTAAATTTGGTTATAGAAAAGAAGATGAACTTTGAATTTTATCTAGTTCTTAATCTTAATCGAAAAAAATTGTAATCAATGATTTTTTCTTTTTTCTTTTTGATTTTTAAACTTGTTAATTGTTAATTGTTAATTGATTCCCCAAAGATTTCTCGATTTTCGATCATCTAATCAAATCAATTAATATTGAAGAACAAAGCCTGCAATTTGACTCAATGAAACATTGAAGAAATCAGTGCACTAGAGAAAATGTGTTTGCATTATCGAGCATGAATGTACTTTATGTTAAATGAATGTACTTTATGTAAGCATAAAGCTAAATGAATGTACTTTATGCCTTGCTTTAAACGTATCCTTTCTAGGGCACTCAATTTCATATATAGCCATATTTCTAGAAGATAATGAAGAATTCAGAAAGGATAAATCACTTGAACACAAAGTATCTTTTCTTGATTGAAGATTGAAAACAGATCCTTTCTAGTGCACTAAATCTTTCGCTTATAAAAGTCTACAAGAAAATGAAAGAGCTTTAGAAAAGCGGAAACCGTTAAGCTTCAATGACTCGAGCACAAAGTACAGAAAGTTTATATTTGATTTTCAAATGCTTACACGTTTGCGCCGATGCCCGTCGACTTGAATTCACTTGCGGTGAGCAGCTTCTTTCCCAGTCTGATAAATCTGAGGATCCATTTTTAAGCCTCCCCGTCGATGAGGTGGTATCTCGAGCGCTCAGCTTGTTCGTTTCTCCTGAGAATTTTCATGATTTCATTTTTTCATCTTTTCCTCTTTTCCCATTAAAGCATTAAAACATTTTTCTTTTCGTGAGAAGCTTTTAATTGAAATTTGAAAGGAAAGAGTTTAAAAGGAATTAATTTTTGGAAAGAGTACAAAAGAGTACAAAAATCAAGTCAGTTTTACGAAGCTGAAGTTTAAAAAACTGAAATCTAGCTGAACTTGATATCTAGATATTTACAAAGCCTACCATTTAGTACAGTAAACTGTACAAAGCAGTACAATAAACTGTACAAAGCAGTACAGTAAACATCCTTTAAAACTCGTGGACAACTTTCCAGCTTAGCTTTTGTCTAGCTTTGAGCTTAAACATTTTAGAGATGCAAAAAAGTACAGTGCTTGCAAGAACCAGACTAACTGACTACTCTAAGATCCGTTATTTTCCAAGTTCTTAAAACTCACGACTCATCGGACTCCTTGAAACGCCTTGTACTCTCGGCGGCACTTCGGCGCAATCTAACGAGAGACTTTTCATTTGTTGAGTCAATTTTGGAGCTCTTCGCTTAGCTGGAGCACGACCTGGAAACAAAAAAAAAATTCTTTAAAAGTACAAAAGCAGTGCTAAGAGTTTTTTCTTCATTTTCCATTTTCCTATTTGCACCTGTATCCCTTTATTTTAAATGACTCGCTTTTTTTTCTCCCATCGCCGATAACTACCCGACTCGAATTTCTTATTTAAATTGCTTTCTCGGGATTGTGTAGAACGGGGAATTGCCTAGTGACGAAGAGATTACTGAAGTTAGGGAAAAGTTTTAAAACAAAAAAAGATTTGGGAAGGGATTGGAAGGGAGAGGTTTTAAGCTGATTCACAGCAGCTGTTAATCAGCTATTAATCAGCTGTTAATCAGCTATTAATCAGCTATTAATCAGCTGTTAATCGCGCTCACTACCACTGCACTAATTGACCGAATTGATCGATAAATAAAGCATAAATGAAGATAAATTTGGGAAGGGATTGAACGAAAGAGGTTTTGGCAGATAAATCAATGATAAATGAAGCATAGATAAACGAAATAAATCTTTGAATAAAGCTAATACTTTTAGACTTTATTAGTACAGTTGAATTAGCTGAATATCTTAGAAATAAAAGAATTTTCAGTTTAGAGGACTACTGTAGACTGAGGCAGTAGTATCCTGTAGGTTTTTTTCTAATTGCAAAAAACTTTTGTCTGGAAAGGAATCGAACCAGCGAGATTACCGAGATTCGTCAGCCTGATAGCAGCGCCCACTACCACTGCACCACACCAAGACCTTTTCCAGAGCAAAACTTTTTCTGATAAACTTGATGTCACTGTTCCGTTACACAAGTGTTTATAGTCTGACCTTGTAGTTTGTAGCGTCCATGTCTACTTCTCTAAGCCTGAGCTTGAGGCTAAGCCAGAGCCTAAGCCAGAGCCTAAGCCTCATCCGACAACCGGCTGAGATCCAGAAAATGGGGGTTCAGCCCAAACCCAAACAGACTTAGTGCTAGGCGCTAGCCTCTAGCCTTCGCACTAAGT